GAGGTAGAAACTCGCAACGCACGGAAACCGGGCAGCCATTCTAGGCGAAACTTTCGTCCAGGAATTCTCATATTTTTCGTATCATCTGACGCCGACGTTTTTCCCAACAGATCACGTTAAGCACTCGAGTTCAACTCATCGATATTCGTATATTCGAATTATCCGCGAAATGCTCAATCCTCTGATTCTCCTAACGCGAGAGAAACGCAAAAATAACGGGGAAAGAAACGCGTTTCTGAAACTATTTTTAAAATGCCCGTGGCCGAGCATGTATGTGCCAAGAAGCGTTTCAATTACAGAAGATAATACGGTCTGTGTATAACATTGTCCAAGCTCCAACGTTTGGACGCCCGATGCCTCCGCTTAGAAAAATAAAGATCGAGCGACGATAAATCGTCACGACGTCGATTCTTTTATCTCTTGCCCGTGACCGAGCACCTAGGAAATATCCCCGCGGCGATTTCTGCTCGACAAATCACCGACGATCGCTGTGAATTCGCTAACGAAAGCGAAATTGGTAACAAAGATGGAATTGAACAGCAGTCGAGTGCCAACATTACGCCAGGGAAACTAATTTTCCAAGCGAGCGGAGCCGCCCAAAGCCAAATTGTCAGTCGAAAGGTGATTTGCTCCAAAAAAAAGAAAAAAAAGTGTCGACCTTCGAGTTAAAGTAAGATCGTTATCCATCTCCGAAAATCCTCGCGAAACTTTGCTCCGTCACGAGATCACCTCGCACGCAAGCTCTCAACGACTGGTTCGCGAATATCGACGAGATCGACAAGAGTGGAAGAGATCCGATCGAAAATGGCAATTCTGTCCGGTGGCTCGTCGGCGATCGGCGATAACGTCGACGTAACAAGCGACAAGTCGAGCTGGTGAAACGCGGAATTAGCGCCTTCCCGCTTTGGGGATATCGCGATAATTGGCTGGGGATATGTCGCGTGCAACGAGCCGCCGTCGTCCATTAACGGTCCACGATCGGTGAGACTCGTTTTCGATGTCCGATCACAAAGAACAAGCTTGAAAAAAACTCGATAGCCCTGACAATACGCTCGCCGGTGCTTATTTCATTCTACCGGGACCGTAGCTTTTTGCGCGCGACTTCACGACGCCGTTTTCGTGAATCGAATTTCGAGCAGAATCGAGCAGGATCGCGTCGGATCGATCCGTTAATCCCGCTGGAAGCAAACAGGTTTCCATTCTCCTTGACATTTGCCTGGAATATCTTGGCAGAATCGTGATTATCTCCACCGCGAAGGAACCGTTGATAAATTAGGCATCTGTCAATCGTCGTAATCTCGCTTTGAACTTTATCGAACTGGATGAAGTTGAATTTGGTTTACGGAACAAAGCTGACAGAGTTTCTACTCCTTGGCAACAATGTTGATCTGTTGTTTCATCTGACTGTCTCGATGATATTAAATTCTTAACTCGTTGAAAAATTTCCAAATTTTTTCCCTTGTTAATCGTGTGTTTCCACTTTTCTTTTCTGTCCTTTTTCTGTATATTCCGATAATATCTAACAATGATTCCTCCAGTTCGAAAAGATCCGCAATTCTTTCGCCTGCAATTTAGTTGGCTGTTCGTCGACGATTGCACGAACTTGGTAGCAAAGTATAGTCGGGTCTTTAATTGGAATTCGAACGGTGTCGTGCGCGACTGCTCTACGTTCCCGATCGAATTCTCCCAAAGATGCATCGCGCCGCGGCTCGGTACAGTGAAAGTATCAAATGTAACTCCGGTTTCGCGTGTTAAGCCTGTATAAATATCCGTGGACTTTCTCGTTCAGTCGCTAACCATCGAGACGATGCGTCGTTAGCGCGTTTCGACGAATTTCTAAGGCGTCGTGACACCTTTTTCAAACACGTGCGACAGACTTTTTAGGCAAGCAACACGAAAAGCTCAGGAAAAAGCAATAAGATTTTATATTCTAGGAATTTCGGAAAAATTTATTACGATATTTTTAACGCGAACGATGGTCCCTCTCGGTTGATTTTATACCAATTTCTTCACTTTGCTAGCATCGATTCTACAAAGATTTAGAAATGAAGACATTTCTTAATAATTGAACAATTCCAAAAATAGGATATTTAGGTGTAAAAAAACGATGACCAAAGACTGAGAAAACTAAAGAAGTCACAGATATATCTGTGAAAGACGATTAACTAAGGACTGGATCTGGTGTTATCTTAAACTTCAACAGAACGTTCGTGTGCCTTTACGACCGAAAAATGGTAAACGATCATATCTTCTTCGAAAAACACCACAGCGAGTAATGTTTTGTCTACATTGAGTGTTGTAAACCTCGATCGAACGATGCTTTCGTGTAATTTCACTCTGTTCACGCAGTTAATGGGTCTATAAATCAGCATTGATATCGAAAGTAGGGCGTTATTGAGAGGACGACGGTCACGAGAAGGTGGATACGTTCCGAGGAAATCGTCGCCTGTCGGGCATCGTAATCACCCGTTAGCGTGATTCGAAGCGCAAGACGCCCTCGGGCTGGTTCGAAGCCGCAGAAAAAGCGCTCCTGAAGGGACGAGGACCGCCCTCTTCGTATTCTCGACACGTTCCGCCAGTTTTGGCAATGTGCTCGCACGACCTACGACACTCGACGCGGCGCCGAGGAACGAATCGAGTGAAACAGTCGCTTCTTGTCATTTAACATCGTTCCAGTCACGATTTGCGAGAAACTTACGAAAGACACCTATTAATCGACGTGGAGAAACGAGGAACTTCCAAGATGAAGGATCAAAATTCAACCAAATGGATCAGATACAATTGTCGACGATTCTTCGACTCTACCGTACGTCTCGAAACAGATTATTCTGTCAGAAATTTCTTCGATCAAACCGAATCGACAATCACTCTTGCATCTCATCTTTCAATTTTCGAACGAGCCTTTCTATTTCACGCTTCTCACTTAGTGAAGCTACACCTGGACGTTGGCTAGAAAATTGCCAAGAGACCGATTGCCGGAAAGTGGCCTGTTTCGAGCCTCGTTCTTCTCGGTTTTTTTTTTTTTTTTTTTTTCAGTACGCGAATCGAAGAGGATCTCGGCGGTGTCCGCGCGGAATTCATCGGTCGATGAAATTCCGGGGCGATGTGCGGGGCAGGCACACGATCACGGAACAGGCGAGGGCAGGCGCGCGCGCACGCTACACCGCCGCGAGAACCGGTTTTCCATACGTTTTAATTTCACGCTGACATCGGCGCAATTCAGTTTACACGGATATTGGCCATTTTCTAGCGCTAGTGGGCCGCCGTGTCGATGCAAGCGAAAAGGGAGAAAGAGAGAAAGAGAGAAAGAGAAAAAGAGAGAGAGAGAGAGAGAGAGAGAGACGACGACGACGACGACGCACCGCGAGAGAGATTGATGCACACGGCCGTGGCGCGCGTATTTTCGAAGCCATCGTTTCCCAGAAACACGCCACGACCTCGGCCCTCCTCCGCCACTTTCGATCTTGATCGAACGACCGATCGACCGTTTCCATGCCCGACGCTTCGCTCTCCTTCGTTACGATCGTTCCTCTTCCAACTTTTGTACGTTGTTTCTCGTTCGCTTTAGAAAACGAGGCCTCACTTGTCACTTGCGATTATTTCTCTCGGTCGTTCGATTACCGAATTAAGTTTCTTCAACTCTCGGGAAGTGAGAAGTGAGAAGATCCCTTAAAGTTGATCGATGATCACGCACTGTGTTCAACGCACTGACAGTTCTGTGATAAAGAACGAGAATCGAATTCTTGGGAAGTTCGAGGAGAGAGAGAAAGAGAGAGAGAGATTCGAAAATGGAAGAGAAGCGTTCTCTGGTTCGAAGACCTTTGGAGTTTCGATTGACCATCGTACATACGTCGCGGCACTTTTGTGTCCATCACTGTCAGTTCCAGTTTCGAGTCAAACTTTCAGTCCTTATTTTATCAAACTTTCCTTCCCGTTTCCACAGACACTTCCTTCTTCGGAACACTCACAGTCTTCTAAAAAAAATCTTCTCGCGTAAGAGAGAAGTAAATTCTCCGAAGTAAACCATCCTCGGCACAATTCGGTCGGTTATCTTCGTCTTCGTCTAGCACTGCCTCGACGAAATTCCCATCGCGACTTCCCATGTGATCGGGGCACACCATGCACTTTTCCACGATGCACTATCAAACACAGTTCCTCCAAACATCCCGTTTCTTCGTTCGATTCACAGACATTGCATTCCTTGCGTTTCATACACAATATCGACTCGCTTCAGTTCGCAGACACTACTTTCGAACGAAAAGATATCGTTATCAGGCGGAGAAAATGCGGAACGACACTTCACGATCGGAACGGCATTTCGCAAACACTGATTTGTTTGTTACGTCGATGGTCACCAGGTATTTTTGACTTTGAATCGATTTCGACGATGGTCGTTGGAGGACGTCGATGAAATTATCGGAGTACTCTGACCGAAACTCGATATACGAGACATATTAGATAGGAATTCTACACTACCTGTCACTTTCTCTACTACGTTACACGTTTTTGTAATACTTGGGACGAAAGCTATCGTCGACCAGTCGGTTTCGTCCGGTTGTCAGTCGGGTCGTTCGTCATCGCGTGCGTCTCACTCCACTGTTCTGATCTATCGACGTCACGTTGCCGTATATTTCGCTGTATCCATCGGATTGGTCGAATCAGCAAGTAGCTTGATTCGTCGCTGTCACCTCGCGTTGTCCTACTGGCTTGCTTCCGGTCACCATAATCCTCGTGAAAAAATCGTCGAATCACTCTACTCTATCCACATCACTGCGTCATTCCGTCCATCGATCGTCAAGTTTCTCATCGAAATGAAACGAGTCACTCACTCCGTCCAGCGTGTCCCAGTCTCGTCCAGTCTCAGTCTGAATCGTCCGTTCCTATCTCGCGGCGAAAGAAAAAACTCTTACTTCGACGACGGTGCTTTTTTTTTCTCTCTTTCTATCTTTCTTTCTTGTTTTTTTTTTTTTTTTTTTGATTCTTGAAATGAATCGACTCACCTGCAGTATGTATCCCCGCGTGTAATCCTCGTACGTCCAGCCGAATGCGGCTAGTAAACGTGTCACTTGCGCGTGCTGCAACTGGTTGAACAACTGATCGAGCAAGATCTTAAGGCGGATCGGTAGTGCGCGCGAGCCGTAGAGTACGAGGGATGCGACGTCAAACGCGGCCGTCGGCTCGACACTCTCTGAAGCCGGTGGCCTCTCCTCCTTCTCCGCGACATCGCCTCCACCACCAACACTGCCACCACCACTACCACTGCCACCCCCACTTCCGCCGTTTCTATCCCCACCGTAACTACCCCCACCGACCGACGCGCCCCCACCACCACCACCACTTGCATCGCCACCTCCACTTCCTCCGCCACCTCCGCCCCCTCCTTCTTTCGACGCGGCGGCGGTCGTCGTCGTCGTCGTCGTCGTCACCGTGGTCGTCGGCGTCGCCTGCTTTACCCTCCCTACGCCGCTTTTGTCCTCCCTACCAGTGGCACGGGGGCTGGAGACGACATCCCCACCAGACGACAGTCGCGCCAGCGCTGCAACACACAGTGAAAGAGAGACAGGTTAGAAAGAGAGTCGTCCACCGCCGCCGTCGTCGCCGCGTTCGTTCGTTCGTTCTCGACGCGCGTGTGTTGGTGACCGTGGACAAACCTCCCCCCACCACGCGACTCGCTCGGTGGCACCTCCCACCCCCGCGCCACCTAACCGCCCCCTCCCTTTCCCCACCTCCCTTCAACCATCCTCGTTCACGGTTGCTGTCCTTTCGTTTTGTTCCTGTCTTTCGCGGCCTCTAGCCCGCTCAGCCGATCGTTCCGTATGTCTCTCTCGCTTCTGTCTCTCCGGGTATCGTTCTCGAGCAACCTAGGGTCGCCGATGGTACTTACTTACCCCCACCTAGTCCGCCACCGGACTTGCCCCCACCATTGTCAAACACCAACACACGCCAGCGTCGCACAACGCGCGCGCCCGCGACGCGATAGTTCCACTAACACCGATACGCTTCTGCTCGCGCTACCAATACTGCGAGCTGGAATGTACGGCCGGTCGCGCTGCATCCCCCACCAGCCGGATTTTCTCATGAGACTCGGCATCCATCAACCTGCTGCTGCCGCCACAGTGTCTCGGTTCGTCCACCGATCGCTGTTCGCCCGATGCTTGCAAGACTTGCCGCGATACGATTATCGAAGAATCGCGAGGGTCGCTCGGAGGGGTACCTCGGCCTTTGTTTCATCTATCCGAAGACACTTTTCCCCCGTAATTTTTTCATTTTAGCCTAGTTTTCGCCGGTTTCCTCGCGGGGAGATTTTAGTTCGAGAATTCAACACTCGACGGTTAAAGCTTCGATTTTTCGGAGTAACGTCTCATTTTTTTTTTTTTTTTTTTTTTTAACAATGCAAAGCAGTTATAGTCAGATTCGTATCTGGTTAGTTCATCGTTTAAAATATACAGTTTATAAAGTATGTATTTTGACTCGTTGAATAAAGAATACGCGAATTCTTTGTTTGTTCTGCGAGATCGGGTGCCACCGTTGTTTTTAGGAAGAGTCGAAAGTTCATAAATCAGCATTTCGATATAATCAATAATATTAATGTTTGAGTTTCTGCAGGTAGCAATTTTTTTCATATAATTTCTTGGGCATAAATCAATTGTTTTTATTTGATAGAAGAAAGCTGTCACAAATTTGTCAGAGAAATTTCGTTTTCTTGAAAAGAATCGTACGTGTACGATACTAAATCATTATAACGTCTTTTAACTTACACCACTACAATATAAAACATACTTTCGTTAATTGTAAATTATTTAAGTATAAGCCATAGTGTAATCTACGGAAATTGAATAAAGCTCAATAATAGGTATTACGTTGTTATAACGATCAGAAACACTTTCCACGCCTGTTCGATGAAATAGCAAAATAAAAAGTGCGAATAGAAAATGATTAAAATTCAAATTTCTACGTTGAACAATGGTGCAACGATCGCGACGTAGTTTCACGAGGGAAAATGCCCGCGGACACGATGCGGCGGCATTGCTTTCTCAGAGACACGGACACCGACGTATATAGTCGTCGGGACGGTAAGGTCTCGAGGCGCTTTCCCTCCAGAACCGTCACGCTTTTCGCACCTGACGATTCCTATCTCGGGACACGAAAGTTTATGGACCTTCTTACCACGCAGACGCACACACAATTGGATATCTACAGCACACTGCCTCTGCCGATGGTATCGTTGTCGGGTACGACGAAAACATACGCGTCAATTCTCTCCCCTTCATCGCTTGCCTTTATCTTTCTCTCGATGTACCTACTCGAGCGATTTACAATTTATAAGGCTGGCGGATGTTAATCGAATGATATACCAAAGGTTGACACGTGATGTTTCTGACGATGAAAGAATAAACTCGAAGATTATAAGACGATTGTTACGTTTTTTAATGGGCTGTAATTTCACTCAAGGAGCACGTGGTCGTCTCGAAGATCAAAACTCCGATTTCTGCGCCTCCTTTGATTCATCCAATTACGGCAGATGTTGCCGATGATAGCATCTGGATTCGGTTGCTTGTAAACGATACGAAAGTACGGCAAATGGGAATAAAAGTGGCGTTTTTGGAAAGGGCGCTTTCACAAAACCGTGACGCCTCGAATGTCACTTTTGAGAGACGCGAGTTTTAACTGGCAACTGACTGCGGACCATAACGAGTGACCAAATCCATATAAAATAATTCGTCGCTTTCTGTTTCAACTCGCCGGTATGATGTCACCGGAGTAATAAATTCATTGTTACGCTTTGCCTATTTTGTTTTACTTAAACGTATACTTGAAACTGCGAAAGTATTACAATTTTGGAACAAAATATTCTCGACGTGCGTGGCACGTGATTCCATATCGAGTTTATTTCCTATACTACCATTTGTAATATCTCAAGTGTACTACAAACGACATAGATATTTGCACAGAATTTTTCATTGTATACATGTCGCAGGTATAGAGTTGTAAATGAAAGTCATCACTTCGATTACCTTTACGGAAAAGAGCAACTAGACTCACTTGTATTATTTATCCTGCAGTAACCAAACTCGTAAATCAATTCCCCGCAATGATCGGGCTACCCTAAGTCGCTACCCTATTGTCTATCACGAACAACAGTTTTCCTACGAAGAGGAAGGTGAAAAACCTAACCACCAGTACAATAGAAATTTATGACGCGATAAGGTAATTCAATGCACGATTTATTTCCACCTCGCTCGTCCGTTCTCAGAGAGTTCGTTCAGCACCGAAACGCGAGATAATCGGTTTATCGTCGTGCACGATGGGAAGATCCATTACGCTTGTCCCTTTTTTTTTTGTGCAAGCCCGATAACATTGAGAAGGTGGCTTGGTTGCGTCATGGGACGACGTCGGCCATGATTGTCGTTGGTCGGTTATAGGTGCCATATCGTGGCATATCGGGCCCCATGACCAGCGGACCATCGCCTCGCCGCCGGTCCCACCTGCGGATCAATAGAAACCACCTAGTCATCGGGATCGGGCGCCACTTGGCATTAATGACTATCGGATTTTCGATTTAATTAAACCGCGATGACGATCTCGCCACCTAGACGAGTCAACGGAAAGCCAGATCGTGTTTCGGGAACGATCGTGGTCGGATGATTGGTCCAACGTTTGCTCGGCTGCTTTGGATGAATGCCGAGAATACCTTTGTTACACTGGGAGTACAAGGGGCGGGATGACGGGCTCGTTTTTGACCATTTTTCGAGAACTTTGAACACTGGGATTGGTGTTCGTAATTGGATGTTTAGTCAAATTTGAGTCATGCTCGTTAGCGTGTACTACAGATTGTGAGTATCGTTTCGTAGCTGTGTAATGAACTTCTGCTTCTGATGTTATAACGATTTTTTTTTTTACGTAGGTACGTATCCAATTTGCAACAGTTTTAATTTTCCCAGATCGGGGAACCGTGGCTAAGCACGAAACTCATAAACTCGAAACTCATAAACTCGTTTTTATTGAAATGATTATGCAATACAGCGGGAAACAAAGGGGAGAATAGAAACTCGTGAAGACAACTGTTATGGAATTGTAATTTCCTGAGAATTACATTGTTGTTAAAGATGTCGTAAAAATGTAAATATGAGTAACTAAATATTAAGCGTGGCAATAAAAGAACACATCCTAACAATCACTGGCGAACATTCTTTGAAAATTAACAACACGAATGTTTTTCATTAGTTTCTTAATAAACAACAATAACATAACACGTATCTATCTATTCTCTGCATAAAAGATTTTCTCTTTTTTTCTTCTTAGTTAATTATTTCGTTTTCAAGCAGTATAGTTTACATGACAGAAATGCTTACGGACACCCATGAGAATAGCCAGGTACCAGGAATCTTTGAAAGAGGCAAGGACTCCTTCAATCTTCCTAGCCTAAGTCAGTGGCGTCGACAGATGGAGCTCCATGCTCGGTTCTGTCTCCTTCTACGCTTTCTAACTATACACACAGACGGATACGCGTAGAAAAATCAACGCGTTCTCAAGGGAAGCAGTTACATTCACCACGCACATTTCTCATATATAACCCCACATCCATCAACATTCCCGTCCTATAATAACGAAGACACAAAGGAGGATGCTCCTTAATCTTTTGGATCGATATGGCAGAGCCCCGACCGGTCATCTTTACACGTCAAATTTATTATCGACGAACGAAATTCGGCAACGACGTTTAAATGAAACGTTATTAGTAATATACGTTTATATAACGAACGAATTCGAAAAACTTCGTCCTTCTCGAAGCAAGTTGACCAAATTGACGGACTATCTCCGTTAAAACGAAAGAAGAAGCTACAAAAAGTGCCAAACAATGGAATTATAAATCTAAAAGTCTCGAATCGCAGAGTAAACCGTTCGTATGCTGAATTCTCTGTGTTTTGACGGCTCGTTTCGATAAATATCAGTGGAAAGAGAACAGTACGACATCGAGCGAAAACAGAGCGCATTCGTCGAAGCGATTCATCGAACCCTCGATCCGTTTTACCTCGACACCGCGTTGTTGTTCATTTTTTCCCTCTTTCTCTCTCTCTCTCTCTCTCTCTCTCTCTCTCTTTTTTTTACGGATCAAGCGTGGTGGTTTTGCGCGCGACAACGAATTTTCCAACGGACGAACGTCGACGGAAGGGTGGCGGCACAGTGTCGGCCGCATGTTATCCGAGTTTGCTGTACGAGACGCGTTTTTGCGAGACGTGCGCGCGCGGTCTGCCCGTCGAATTTCACGGGATT